GTGACAGCCAGTCACTTTGGGATAGTTGGCGGCATGGGGTCTGTACCACGAGCTTGGAGGCAGACGCGTTAGGTGTGCCAAGCAATGAACTCATGACCCATGCCTGCCCATAGTTGGGTGAGGGCAGCTGCTTCAGCAGGGTTACTGAGCATGCTCAGTATAAGCCACGCAGCAAATCTGGATGGGCACATGATCCCATAGAGAGCCCCTGACATTTTACCTCAGACTCTAGAGCCAGTACAGGAGAGAGTGCAGGAAAGAGCACACATCCCTTAAGCACCCTGGGAAGGGCTAGGAGAGAGATGTGAATGTTTCATGGTGAAGGGACCAATATTGCCACCCATGTTCCCTCAAATCCTTTCCATCCATGAGCAGAATAATTTTTATCCACCCCGAAGCATGTGCATGTGCACCACCCATAGAAACACAGGCTCGCTGTGGGAGCTCTGCTAATCAACTGGGCGGTATTTCAAGCTCTCTTGAGCAGCTGCACAAGCTTACAGAGAACATCGACTGCCACCCACCACTGTTCAAAGATCCTAAGTGAGACCCTCCTCCCCAAATGGATTCAATTCATTTTTCCAAACGAATGCATTTTGAGCTCTGAACTTTTAGGGCCCACTCGAGTTACATTTTCATGCTTTGCCCGGCAACCATAAGGACTAGCAAACATTCTTTGTTTTTAGATGAAAGCGGAGGCTCTTATGTACTGACATGATTCCAGGATGATATTTCAAATCAAAGACATCGGGTCACAGCTCAGTCCGGCTGTATCACACACACTTTCTGAGTGTATCCAAGACACTGACCCCTACAGTCTAAGCTCTAGTAATAAAGCCAGTAGCTTTATGGGTTAGAACATCAGACCTGATAGTCTAAGCTCTAGTAATAAAGCCAGTAGTGCTCTTCATGGGTTAGAACGTCAGACCTGATGTTGACCAAGGCACATTTATTCAATTAATCCTGCTTTCCACGGGGAACACAAAGAGCAGGCATTTTAAATGCGCCACTGGAAATCAGAAGCTGGGAGGTAGGTTCCTGACTCCTTTAGGCGTGTTTGGGAATGGTACCCCAAGTCAGCAGCTACCTCTGTTGCGTAAAACCTCTGCCCAACCCAGTATCATGTAGATGGAAGACATGTAACAGGCCAGCTCCTCAAGCCAAATACACAGGGAAAGCTTGGAATTACAATACATATGCAAATTCAATTCAATTACTAATGGACTTAATCAAGATATGGGGTGGTGGGCCCTTTATCACTGAAGGTGCTAACAGCTTTCTGAATGGCATCATTCCTGCCTTACTAATCTATCCACTGACTTTGATCTTTATCTACTGAGGTTAAGCACCGTTTCTCCTAATACTTTATGTATAGAGATGGGGGGGAGGGGTGACAGAGCATCTTTCTCTCCTCCTCCCCCCAACCTTCTCCTATTTATTTTGAGTTTTCTTATCCCCTAGTCATAACTCCGGTTATCTGAAGAAGTGGGCTGTGCCCACAAAAGCTCATGATACCATCTGCATGTTTTGTGAGTCTATAAAGTGCTACCCGACCATTTGCTTGCTGTTTTTTCTGTAACAGACTAACTCGGCTACCCCCGGAAGCTCATGTAACTGACTGTTATTTTAATCATGTCATTTTCCGTCATTGTGAGCCATGTCACGTTTTAAGTTCTGCAACATCTCGCAAGCTTTGAAACTGCCAATTATTTCTTGTGCAACCTCTAAGCTTTATCACATTCCATCGTGCGACAAGGGGGGGTGTAAGTGAGAAGAGAGTGTGACTAGGGGACTATCTGAGCCTGGGTGGAAAGAAACTCTGAGACTATCCACTCGGCGCCAGGAGGCGGCTGATGTCATCTTCCCTTGCACACGAGAAAGGCAAAACCGGAAGTGCCGCTAAGATGAGCAGAAGAACTTAATAAGCATCGAGTGAGATCTGGGTGGGCCTCTCGGTGACAGACACAGAAAAAGAACTCGGCGTGCATGCCAGGGGCTGCCCAGTTCCTTAAAGAGAGGAGAGCACACAGAGCACGGTCGTCCAATCCGCTCGCCGGCCCGAATTGGTGACTGCAGGCAGAGACACCGAATCTACCGTGCTTGGCTTCGTGTGTAAGCGTCTGTGTGTAGGCGTGCCAGAGTGTGAGAATATGTGCGCGCGTGTGAAGGACTTCCATTCCCTTCTTGCTTGATCCAATAGCAGCACTGAATTGATCAATCTAGGTGGAACCCTGAGCTGGTCTCCAGTGAAATTCGGTAACAACGTCCTGATGTCAGGGAGTTGCCTAGCGCTTCCGAACTCAGAGAGGACCGCGGTGGTCTGCAGGGCAACTCCAGCATGTGGATGGGCCTGGAAGCTAATGGTCTCCAGGAACACTAGGGAGAGGATGCTGGCCAGAATATCTTGCTACATCCATTATTAGTGCCCATGGAGAGCAGGAGCGTACTGGCAATCAAAATAGGCCCAGGAAATGGGTTGAGAACGGCCCTCCCCATGACGTCACCCCTGCATGTCTGGCACGCGGCGCAGGCGGCGGGTCGGGCTCTGCGTGTCGCATACAGCGCGGACATGGAGCCGCTCAGAGCGAGGGGCAGCGGCGTGTGGACACGATGGCCCACCGGATGAAGGCCCACTGGGAAATTCCTGGTATCCTGCCAGGCCAGCCCTCCCCGAGAGAGTGTGGTAGCTGCTCCTTCCACAGACTGTTCCTCGGGCTATTTTGGGAGCTGCAGAGAAGAGCACCGAGAGGCAGGCAGGCAGCTTTGAGGAATCCACCAGCTATTACTCCAATTCCTCCAGCGGAAGGAACACTTTCTAAGCTGAGAATCGAGCGGTTTCCCCAAGTCCCGGCTCCTGTGCTCTCCAGCTCGCGTTCCCTGTAGCTGGTCCGCCAGCCCTTCCTGCTTCTGCTCCCGCTCCTGCAAGCCAGTTGGCATTTGGTGGCACCTGTAGGAGACCCTCTGGCCTCTGCAGGTTCCCTCACACTTGCAGGTCCTTTTGGAAGCAGGGCGTTAAATCAACACAGAGAAGCACCAAACTTAGTGGCAGCCAATCAGGATGCGCCTCTTTGCATATGCCATCTGATTGGCTAACATTGCTCTAGGAAAGGACTCAGGAATCACGTTGGGTCCAAAGGAGGCAACCAATAGAAACGTACTGAGTTCAGAGGGCTGGGCAGCCAGCTGAGCAGAGCGGTGTGCTTACCCTGCTATGCTCAGAACCTTCTGCATGGCTTCCTTTGGAGCCCTCAGCTGATCTGATTTAGATTTCTTGAGACCGCCTGGCCACATGCGTGTCTGTAGCCTCCAGCTACACCTGCAGTAACCAGAAAGGGGGTGCCGACACTGATGGCTTTGTGACCCATGGCCCTGCTGCCAGGCAAGGATGGAGAAAGTGGGACCTCGGTGCAAAGGAAGTGGGAGCATCACCTGTTCCTCTCTGGACATCACAAGAAGGGCCATTATTCTCTCTAGAGACAACAGGCGCTTCCCAAGGTACGCTGGAGACAGCTGGTAGGGGTCCATTTTTCAATCAAGCCTAGGGTTAGATTCTGTTGAAAGTTAGCTGGGAGTTAGGGATCTAAACTAGCGCATAGGATCAGTCTTGGGGTAAGCACACCAATCCAGATCTGGATTTCACAGCTCAGGTCCACTTCAAAATCAATGTGAAAGAACAACACCGTTCCTGAGAATTCTTTACCTAAATAGGCAACTCTGGGACTCCTGAAGAAAAGAACTCCCAGGAGAGATTTAAAAGCTGGAGGTGCAAGAGAGGCTGATCTCCACGGGTGCTATGCACATTTCAGGGAAGTTACTCCTGATTTACATACAATGCGTGAGAGGAGAATCAAGTCCGTTGTATCAGAGATTCGTGTTTTCACAGAAAGATCTAGTCTGCCTAACAGTGTCTCCCTTCTAGTTCCCCCTCTCCAATCACCACGCAGCGACTGGCCACAATCACAGTGCGTCCCTCTCTTGGCTGCAGTGGCTAGTCCCTCCTAGCGCACAAGCAAACCCAAAGGGGGCAGCACAGACTCTACAGGACTCGGTTTTCCCATCCCGCAAACATTTTTGACATATTTAAAAATATCCATCCCGAATCAGGTCGAAAAGTCAAAATCTCAACTTTTCCCCTTCTGAAAATCTGAAGAAAATAAATCCGTTTGGGTCAACTGAAAATGTCATTCAGTTTAGACCATTTTCGATTTGAAATTTGTTTTGAAACAGTGCTCAACTTTAATTGCAAACTAAACAGACATTTTAAAAAAAAGGAGAACTGGACTTTTTCATTTAGCAAACCTCTCAAACAGACCATGCTGATGACTTTGAACTTTAAAAACAATAGTTGGAATATTTGTCAGAACTGACCCTTTTCCAAAATTGTATTTATATCAGTTTTGACAAATTGGTGTTTTCCAATGAAAATAAGTGTCATCAAAAAATTCCCACCCAGCTGTCTCTACCCCTCCTAAGGAAGAGGATAGTAGGTGTACTACTCTTACGTGTTGGGTGGCTCCAGTGTATAACCCTTTCTAATATCCCCCTGTACGCACCACAGATCTGGGATTGACTGGCACAATCTCCCAAGGACTACTTCTCTCCTGAGGAAGAGTTGGCTTCTTTCCTGAAATGCTGAGCAGAACCAGATGCCGACTTGGTTGCATTATGCAGTGAGGGGTGGGCGGGTTAGTATATATTCCTGAAATTGCCAAAGCTCCCCTTTTAAGCTAAGTCTCAAGAGGCAGGTTCCAATTACATCGGCTTCCCTTGTGATTGACAGTGGGTGCTTAAAATGGACTTTTTTTGCTTTAGAGAGTTACGTTCCCTGCTATTTCAGGATCAACACAAACCCGAAGATGCCAATTCTTGCTTTACATCCCACTACTAGATCCTAAGGCTGAATTTACGATGTTATTTTCTTGTAAATGTCAGATATAATTTTGCAGGAAAGCTTAGATCTATCTGATACTGATCACTTGCAATTTTCATTAGGGCAAAGCCAAATCAGATGCAGCTGAGATCCTCTCCCACCTCCTGGAGGATTATGCTAACCAAAGTTTGCCGACAAGACTTGGAGATAATAGACGTGAAAACCTGTAAACCATATATTTAACGTTTATAGGCTTCATTATAAAGCAAGCTTTCAATAAGGTATTTTATACTGGGGCAAAATCCACATTGATAAAGTGGATATGTTTAATCCTGGTTAAGAATGTGCAATTTTTCTTCTGAATTTTCCCTTGTCACTAGAATTTCATTCGCTTTCTTCTGTACCATGGGGCATACGGCCGAAAGCTCTGGCGTGGTTGATATTGTAAATTGACTGCTGAAATCTCATTTTTGTTGTTAATTTCCATAAGAATTAGGGCTTTCCATACTTGCTAGAAATTTGCAGCAGGAAAGCATTAGAGTCTCCAGAGGAAGCATAGTGGGTCAAATCTGCTTTCAGTTACACAGAATAACTTAACCGAGTTCAGGGGATACAGAATAAGAAACGGTTTGTGTGCCTGCATACAGGTTTTCCTGTTGGTAGTGAACCCACTCCATGTGGGCATGGAAGCCGAGTCTTTCTTTAACACCTTTCTGGGGGGAGGGAGGGGTGGTTCTGCACACCTTTCTCAGCAGCTTTTGATCTTTGAATCCCGCTTCCTGCATCTCTCCAACTTACTGGCTCTTCACAGAGCTTCAAATGTCAGTGGAAAGCAGCTTTCTTCCCATAGCAGGGCTTTTAATATCTCTCCCCCATGTTCTTTAGCTCTGTCTCTGAACCTGCAGGGAGAAGGTTTGCACAGCGGCTGTGATACACGACGGAGCCACAGTGCGCAGGCTGTCCAAGGAAAAGAGACCTCAGAAGCCAGATTCTCCTCAAAGGCAAACAACACACAGTTTGCTGTACTCCGGCTGTTCCTCTTCAAGCCAAGGGTTGCTTCAGGAAATTCCCCAGCTGAATGAAAAAAACCCACGTTTTTTTCCCGTTCTTTGGGATCCCTGCCCAGCATCGCTCAGTTCCCAAGCTGCCTTTTGGGGTTGGCTGGGAGAAGTGATCCCAGAAAATCCAGGCTACTAAGGATTAATGGGGCTGGACAGAAATATGTCCAAAACCAGCCCCTTCCCCCTGCACTCACAGGCACATTCTCCTTGGCTTTCTCACAGGAAACTCACCTCAGCGTGTATGGAGCAAGTTATCAAATCCCAAGGAGAAACGGTTGCATTTGTTTCCATTCTACGAAATGATAAGAAATCAAACAGGGAGAACAAGTCCGTGTGAAAATAAACTCAGGGGTGTGAATTCACCGGCACATGCAAGGAACGGGAGCTTCCTGGGGAGTTTCCAGGCCAGCTCCATTAGTTATCTAAGTGGCCGTGATACAAGCTCTGTGTTCTGGAGATGGGAGAGAGTGACCACGTAGGATCACTTGGAATCACAGAATGATAGTGATTCCTGTGGGCTCTTCCAGCTCTGGGATTCTGAATCCAACCCCCTGCCCAAAGCAGGACCAATCCCATCTAAATCCTCCCAGCCAGGACTTTGTCAAGGAAACCTCTAGGGATGGAGATTCCATCCCCTCCCTAGGGAACCCATCCCAGGGCTTCTCCACCCAGCACGGGCCCAAGGGTGCTATCGCCCGGGGCGCCCCATTGTAGGGGCGCCGCGTGGGGCTGCCGGGCCGGGCGGCACTGCGCATGCTCCACGCACCCGGGGCGGGGCCACACAGGCGCCAGGCTGGGGGCTGGGGGTGCTGTGCACCCGGGGGCAGGGCTGCGCATGAGTAGCGCTCACGGGGGTGGCGCCTCGCTCTCGGAGCCCAGGGCACACAAATGGCTCGGGTCAGCCCTGTCTCCACCCCCCTAGGAAAATAGTTTTTCCTAATATCCAACCTAGACCTCCCCCACTGTAACTTGAGCCCATTGCTCCTTGTTCTGCCATCTGCCCCCACTGAGAACAGCCTCTCTCCAGCCTCTTTGGAACCCTCCCCCACACCAGACTTACAGGAGTCTGGTATTCTGGAGAGTGATGTAAGCAGGTACAGTTCCCACTGGAACCAATTGGAACCGGACCTCCCTCAGGGACGGATTGGCCATGTGAGTGTTGGGAACGGTTCGGGTGTAAGTCGAGGAAGGGTTTGAGGCCAGCAGGGACCATCAAAGTCTGACCTCCTGGATAGCACAGTGATCTCTGCATCCAGCCCATAACGTGTGGCTGAGTCAGAGGAGATACCATCTCGATTTAAAGATTACAAGTGATAAGAATCCCCCCTGCACCTTGGTACGTCTTTCCTATGGTGAGTTACCTGCAGCTCTTTACACATCGTCCTGTCAATTGCTCCTCTTGCTTCTCCTCCGCTTAATTTCTGAATGCCAAGAACCCACTTCTCTGTGTCCTCAGAGGTTGTGTCCTCGTTTTCACTCTTGCAAACTATTTTACCCCTGTTCTGAATTCAGTTTTCACAGGTGCAAGTGGTGACACAAGGTGCAGGACAATGGAGAATCAAGCCCACTAGTTTAATACATCTGCACATAGGGAAGTGAGGGGAGAATTCAGCTTGCCTGTGCCAACAGCTTTTGCATTTTCTCTCTCTCGAATGATTAAATTTGCAACCTTAACTTGCATCCGCCTAATTATTTGCATTTCATTCCTTCCTGGTTTTACGTGTCACATGATGGAAATCTACTACCAAAAAAAAAGTTTAGTTGCCAAAAGGCCTTCCATGGGCCAAATCCTGAGATCATTGGGTCCTTTACTCATTCTTTACTCAGGCCAATGCCTACTGAAGTCGGTAAGAGCTCTGAGAAAGGACCGAGTGAAAACTGAATATGGATTTCAAGATTAGGTCCCCTGATGTTCCAAGAGGAGTTCTCCACTGCCTGTGGAATAGAATTAACTTTGGAGCTCAGGCAAAGTGGCTGAAAGTATGTCACATATTCTGTTTGCACAGAATGACTACCAGATGGTCTGCAAACGCTCCACGTGCAGTGAAAAGTGTGAATGCCATTTCTTTGCAGCCCACTGAAATGCAGAGGGGACAGCAGGATGCATTCATTGGCCATGTCCCAATCTGTGTGCATGTTGGATATGGATTCCGTGCAATGCAGGACTGGTCACAGACCGGCCATGTCTTGGTGAGAGAGGCATCCATGGTGGCATCTGGCAAACTCCTGTCTCAGAGCTGACAAAACTCATTGCACCTAATGCACCACGTTCGTGGTATTTAGCCATACAGGGTAACCTGTAAGACCTCTACTGAAAACTTGCAACTTATCAGTGCTCTTAATCACCGGGAGGTGTGTGGATGGGTGATCCCCAAGGAATGATATAACTACCATGGAAATCACGGCCGGATCGTGATGGGCACGAGCGAGTCACCAAACAATTATACATCTTGGTGATGGCTCAAGCAGGCGGGAGTTGGCACCCCCCTCCCTCGCTAGTCAATGAAGTACTTCAGTGCTCCACCGTCCAACTTTCCCCCAACCCAGAAATGTCAGTGGCAAACCAACAAAGACAAACTATGAAAATCAAAACCACATGGAAGCGAACAGGAACAGCATGAGAGCAAGGGGATCGCTCTGTCTGTGAATGAAGACAAAAGCCTAATTCAGTCTATCCCGGGATGGAGAAAGACAGAGAGGAGCTACTTTGAGAGAGTGCTTGGGGCTAGCAGGTGCTGGAAAAACACTGAACACTGGGGTGAGAATCGACTTTCTTAGCTAGGATCCCTAGCTGTTAGTAATTGTAGAGCCTGGTTTGTTAGGATTTGGCTTGGTATTTAACCCATCTCTCCCACTCGCTTTTATTTGAAATTCTAGTTTTCTGAACTACATTTCTTTTTATATTACTTGAGAACTCTCAAGCTCATCTGAAGAAGTGAGTTTTGCCCCCCAAAGCTCCTGATAGTGTTTATATATATATATACAACACCCTTTTAGATATTTGAAAACTGCTATCATGTCCCCCCTTAATCTTCTTTTTTCCAAACTTAACAAGCCCAGTTCATGAAGCCTGGCTTCATAGGTCATGTTCTCTAGGCCTTTAATCATTCTTGTCGCTCTTCTTTGTACCCTTTCCAATTTCTCCACATCTTTCTTGAAATGTGGCGCCCAGAACTGGACACAGTACTCCAGCTGAGGCCTAACTAGTGCAGAGTAGAGCGGCAGAATGACTTCACGAGTTTTGCTTACAACACACCTGTTGATACAACCTAGAATCATAGTTGCTTTTTTTGCAACAGCATCACACTGTTGACTCATATTCAACTTGTGACTCATATTCAACTTGTGATGGAGAAAGACAGAGAGGAGCTACTTTGAGAGAGTGCTTGGGGCTAGCAGGTGCTGGAAAAACACTGAACACTGGGGTGAGAATCGACTTTCTTAGCTAGGATCCCTAGCTGTTAGTAATTGTAGAGCCTGGTTTGTTAGGATTTGGCTTGGTATTTAACCCATCTCTCCCACTCGCTTTTATTTGAAATTCTAGTTTTCTGAACTACATTTCTTTTTATATTACTTGAGAACTCTCAAGCTCATCTGAAGAAGTGAGTTTTGCCCCCCAAAGCTCCTGATAGTGTGTGTATATATATATACACTATTTGTGTTAGTCTCTAAGGTGCCACAGGACTCCTCCTTGTGTTTCAAACCATAGGAGCGTGGGTTTAAGGCTACACTGAGGTGCCTGTTCCTATGGAATCCGAGGATCTTGGATTTCTGTGGGTATCCAGAGATCAGGGAGTGGGTAATATTGGGGGACACCGTGAAGGACCTCGGAGGTTGGGGTGCATGTGTTATCAGCCCTGCCAATTGACATAGGCCAGATGAAAGTGTGTGACTGACAGGTTGGTTGTGTTAGGGAGCTAACACCCAGTGGGCTCAGGCAAGATCGGCACATGGAAAGAAGGTTAACCTGTGGAACTCCTGGCCAGAGGGTGTTGTGAAGACCAGGACTTTAAGAGGGTTCAAACAAGAGCTAGATAGATTCATGGAGGTTAGGTGCATCAATGGCTGTTGGTCAGGATGGTGTCCTTAGTCTCTGTTAGTCAAAGGCTGGGAATGGGTGACAGAAGAGGGATCACTAGATAGTTCCCTGTTCTGTTCACTTCCTCTGGTGCACCTGGCATTGGCCACTGTGGGCAGACAGGACACTGGGCCAGATGGACCTTTGGTCTGACCCCGTCTGGCTGTTCTTACGTTCTTATGTCATGTGACTCAGACCCTTGGGTGCTCTGAGAAGTGTCACATAACCCAGTGCTTTCAGAGTCCTTTCTGGGCACACAAAATGAGGTGTGCAGTCGTAAGGGCAGTTCAGTGTTGCTTGGTCTACTCCTGCTCTCAGCATGAATGAAGATTGCCAGGAGTTAGCTGGCGCTGCTCCGATACATCAGTGTGAATGGAAGGGTGCCAGCGGGCCTAGCAAATTGGTGACGGGGGAAATCGTTCCAGCTAAACTTAAAAAAAAAAAAAACTCCCGACGTTCCAGACCTGTGGTAACTTTTTATGCGGAATTTTCTGAATGGAACATCGGAGACTTGTTCTCAGGTTACTCTCTGCAGAGAGAGGTGGCTTCATATTCCCCTGTCTTTTAGTGTGTTTTTAAGCAAAGTTTGCACATTTAAATCAGCCAGACTAACAATCTGCAATGACCAATTTGTCAACTTTAGCTGCTCTTCCAGGTCAGAAATGATTAAAGAAAAATGTGTTGGCCTTTCCCAACTGTTTGCCAAACACAGCATGCAAACAATTTCAGTGCCAATTGCACTCCTGGGGATACGTCCTAACCTGGGCTCTTGGTCCCCGAAGTCACATGAAGTGGTTTTTGCCCACTGAATTGCAGAAACTTTGATACCCAGACAGAAGGAAGGTGCAGGATTTTCAAGATGGCTGAGTGACACTATGCATGCCAGACACTGTGGTTATTTGTAAAACGGGCTTAAAAAGGGGGTGGCATTTTCAACTCTTTATGATTGAAGAGCACTGAGTTTCAAGGGGAGCCAGGCTCCTAAATCACTTGGAACTTTGTTACTACAGGAATTTTAAAAGGGACTTGTCTCTCGCCGCTCTCCCAGTACTTGTTCTGGAAGAGAAGCTATTCTTTCCTCCCCAGGACAGATAAACTCCAGGATATCTGAATTTATTTTCTACTCCAAATCCATAAATTGTATATGAATTCCCTTGACCCGCAAATCTAATTCTAGGAGAGCTATAACTGCTCCATAAGGCATCAGAGCATGC